CCCTATTTTGGTTTGAGACAGTGGGTGTTTTTGTGTGTTTTGTGCCACCCCCCCCCCCCTCCCCTACTCCTCCATCCGAGCAAGGAAATCCTGGATCCATCATTGGTAACAATAACCATTATGTTTTGGAAGAGGAGGTCAATACTGTGGGATATATGAAACCTTATTCGGGCTTCAAATAAGCAAATAATTTGTTATTCTGATGCTACTCATTGCATAACAAAAGTGAATAATAATTGACAAAAGTCGGTAAAATTAGATTAAAATGCTCTGTCTCTGATTATTTTGATGCTCGTCATCACCAACCAATTGAATGATACATTGCTTTCGATAATCTCTGCACATCTGTATTTAATTTATCATAATTATGGACAGAGAAATTAATTAATTGCATTCCGGTAAATACAATTTCAAACAAATGCAGAATGGTTTGAAACATATTGAGTATAGGACTCGTAAACACGAAGGTTTTTTCTGAGAAATGTTAAAAAATATTTTGATGCGAGCACTGTGGTATACTGATGAAGTTTCTCGTACAAAACACCAGGGTTTTAATCCTAGCTCAGTGCTCAAATTGTGCAAGGTGATTTGACCTCGTTTCCTCCCAACCGAGGTATAAAGGGGCTCATTACAAAGCTCATTACAAAAGAATGAAACGCCGATAATACCAAACAACAACAACAACAACTGGGGTAATTAAAATTGCAAGGGCGACGGGAAGAGCTGCATGGATAATATTGTGGCTGCCCCGGTAAATAAGGCCAACAATGAGGCCAAATCATTTCAATTATGGACTTGTCCCCATTTTCATGTCGTGCATCTAATTACTAAACACCAACACACTCATTCCGCACACAGATTCATTCCGCCTATGAATATATATATATATATATATACAGTCAACAAAAGTTTACACCTAGAAATTTTGGCGCAAGTCGATTTTTGCACTCTCGCAAAAAATGCCTCCTGTTCATCCAAGCATTAACACATACCACACAAAAATGATATCAAATAATTTGGGGAAAAACTCTCTTTCATAAGATGTATAATAATTCACTGTTCATAGATGATTTTTTGAATAGTTAGCAATTTTGTAGGTGTAAACTTTCTTTTGACTCACACTGTATTTATACATTTATGTATATGTGTGTGCATATTGTTAAGATCAAAAGGTGAATCTACTTTGACAGAGCCCCATTATACTAGTGTCCCCTTGATAGAAGGAATTCGGCTACGTATGAATAATGATTAAGTTGATTGCAATTGCGTTTGAGTATAGGTGTAGGTTTGAGTTGTGGTAGGCGTATTGTAGTGTTTGGCCACATGTAATTGGCTTGACCGTTTTATTAAGTCGGCTGGTATTTTTAATTCACCACGGCGAAATTGTAAATCGAATATGAATCTTGCAGTCTCACCAATTATTAAATGGATATGTGTGGAATTGATTGTAATTACAATACAATCATTTTAAGCTTAACGAAGGTAAATAAAATCAACGAACATAAGAAACAAGTCACAACATTGTTTTTAGGAGAAAAATGAAAAAGCATTTTTATTTTCAAATGGGCTGTCAGTTTATACAACTATCCGCTGGTGAGGAATCTATCATTAATTCATCCTTAATCGTTTACCAAACAGTCTGCTCTGAGGAAAATAAATGAGATTCTATCTTAAATTTAATCAATTCTGACTCCTGAGGAGATTATTGAAAAGTAGGACAAAGTAATCATAAATATGTGAGTTTCTATTCCATTTTGCAACACCATAAGGAAAGCGACTTACCGCATTTAATAATCTGAAATTTGACAACTTTTGTTCCATGAAATGCAATCATAGTTTAAATCCATCTAGACAATACATATCATGTGGCCAAGTTTTTGATGCACAGGATAATGTAGTTCCATATGACCACAGCTATGTGAAGTACTTTGAAATTATACATGATTATCTTCCCCAACTTCTCCAAACTTCTTGTAAAACGTTTAACCTTCACAATTACCCTATAAAGTAAATTCCATTATAATTTGTTTTATTAAAAACATGTTTGCATAGTGATACTTTCTAAATCAAAAAAGAAATACGATAAATGTTTAACACTTTTATAAAGTGATTAAAGGTCACTTTCAGAAAGCATGGTACCCACAGCACACTGTATCGTTAAACTTCTAAGGCACCATTAAGACTTAGTATTTACAATGTCATAATATGTTCTGTCTCTATTAAGCACACCTTTAAAAGAACATCAATTTTCAGACATGGACGAAAATGCAAAATCAAGACACTTTTAAATTTCATCTTTCGGCAACATTTTCTTTGTTCATTTACAATTTTCATTTTACAATATGTAGCTTTGAGATTTGTATTATATTACACATTTGAAGAGCGAAATATCTCCGTTATTTACGTTTTCATAGTAGAAATATTATACATGATTGAAACTATTTTTCCCTTAAAGGTACTATGTCCCTTTTGCAGCCAACCTCAAATGCTGTAAAACTTTGCAGGAATTATGAATATGTCATGTATGTCCTATCTGCGAAATTTAAACGTTATCAGTGTCCTCATATTCAAATTATGCAAGGAAACCCGTTTACTTGCTAGACTTCACTGTCAGACACTATTGAGTGACTGACTGGCTTTTTTTCTTCTTTGGTAATAACATACATGAAAAGAGTTGTAAAGGGTACATGAGCATTTGTCTACATCAATAACCCACTTCTTGTGATGGCCAAGATTAAACTGATTGAATCTTTGCGCAGCATAAAACGTATGACCATTCGGTACAATTGTCTGAAAATCAAGGCTATTACTTTTGGGCTCTATAGCCCTAAAGTCGATTTGACAACTAATAGTCGTTATTTTCCCACTTGAAGACATTTTCAAGCCCCACCTTTTATAGGGAAGTTCTAAATTAGTATTATCTTTCAAATGCAGTTGGAATTTAACTTTTTCATTTTTGGGGCCTGCAAATGGGACATAGTACCTTTAAGATATGATTTTGTAATAACTAAATTATTTTACATAGTCGCCGAAGAAAGAAATGCTGCCATTAGAATACAATACGTACAATATCCTTTTTTTTTTTTTTATAGAAAACTATGTATAGACAAACCAAATTTGTATTTGAGGAGCATGCGATAATCAGCTTATTCCATTTCATTTTTATATGACACAATAAAGCTCGTAAATAAGATAAATGAAAGAAATCCATTATGAATGCTATTCATAAAGTAAATGTCGTACATGACTTGAATCATTTACTCGTTGAATATTCAATATAATTTACATTTATACAATCCTTATTTACAATAAAGTTCAAAGAAAGAGATGACCTGCAATGCACTTTCTTCAAATTTGTATTGTTTTAGGCAATCATATCAACAAGCTATTTACACCATAAACGATATATTACAATGTATTCTTCAGTACATAAACAACGCTACATACAAAGCTCTCATTGATTCCGGGAGAAAAACAGGAATGTTTTTATCAAGTATTTGTTTCAAATAAATGAATATGTTTACATTTATACCAGGTCCATGATCCCATTCTCAATACAATTATTATATCACGTTACAGAACATATTTATTCAAATACAATTTAATTGACATTTTTGTTACAAGTCTATAAACGACATAGAACAGAGAACAAAATGCGTTTACATATCAATAATTGAATTGAAGAAGTCTGTACAAATTATATGCAAAGTTTGGATAAATTCAAGTTCAAGATTACCATTTATCGTCGGTATAATAATAATTATAATAATATCGAATATTTAGGAGCGCTAAAAAACAATTAGTACCATAGCGCTTACAATACAAATATATGGAAAGAGGACAAAAATTTACAGTACAGGAAGTATATCACATTGATCATTGGGGGAAAGATGAGTTTGGAGGGATCTTTTAAAGGTGGCAAGACAGGTAATTTCCCTTATGGAAAGAGGGATGCTGTTCCAAGTCTTTGATGCAGCTACTGCAAAACTTTTTTCAGCTGCTGAGAGTCTAGATTTGGGAATGTTAAGTTAACACGTGTCGGTTGCCTCAAGAGGGCGAAATTGCATTGATAAGAAATATATTCATTTCACCAGCTGGTGAATATAACACTGGAAAGTGACCGGCCAGGAAAATAAAACAATTACGATCCTTGCAATTGATACAACGTGACGAGCTCTGGACCAATCACATCTCGGTATCTGTCTAAGCTATCTAATATATATTGATATCCTTCTGGTTCTAGAGAGACGTAACTCAGTTCCCTTAATTTAAGTGGCATACAACTACAATTTGATATCTTAAATCCGCATTTTCTATACATTTCAGCTCACACTGCTTCGGGCATCGTTGAATTAAACACCACTATTTCAGGGGAGGTATTTTATAGCAAAAGAGGTATAAGAGAATAGTGAATCGTTTTTCGCGGTCCTTTTCGAGGATGTTTATAGATTAAGTTGAGTTCTGGTCATGCGATTACATTGTACAAAAAAAACTGTGTGAAAGTGCTTGGAAAAGGTCTATAATGGGGCAGATAAGTTTTGGTGTATACTGTGAAGTTTTTGAATCGTCAAAGTGATAAGAAATTGGCCCAGGTTTGTTGGTAGTCTCATGCACTGTACAGAAATTGGATTTATGTGACTACAGAAACATGCGGGATGTACTTGTTCTCCACAGCCGGTAACTGTTACTTTTTTTTTTTTTTAACAGGTCAATTTGAAAAGCCATCATTTTCCGTTGACCTCTTTTTCAATGATACTCTTCCACACTAATTAAATAGAAAGAAAAGCTACCAAATTAATTTTCACCTTTCGCATAGCTAAATCTTCTCTTTAAAGCCCCACTATCCTACGTGTAGCTACTTACTCCTTCTATATAGAATACTTCCCAAATCGGTGCCTATTGATCCCCCATGATCTTCTATTTCTTATGTTAGTTGAGAGCTGAGTTGATGAGATAGCCACCTGTCAGTGAACTCGCTGTGTGGTCAGATCCCTCCTAGCCACACTAGTGTTGATAAGCTTTAAAAGTTTGATGTGGCGGTTGACTTGGAACTCTTCGAACTTGCCCAAGTACTATCTGCAACACGACGACCAAGCCGAAGCTTAAGTGCTGTTTTCACCTGGATGAATATCGAGAGAGAGGACAAATATTGATAAACTGATCACAAAGACTTTCGAAAACTCAATCAAAGGAAGTTTCAGTCTCCTTGTCGATCAACTTTGTCAATATGCAAACGTTTATTTGTTTTTAATTTAATAATAATAATAATATTAGTGGGTTCTTGTATAGCGCTCGTGTCAGTCAGATTTGACCCTCCTGGCGCTCCCGATTATTACCCTGGCTTTAGCACGCCTGCCATACGGCGCTCTAGCATTTCAAGGAATAAATTCCTTGTATTTGTTTATTTGTTGATCATTTTTTTTAAATTTACTTATCCATTAACTTATCTATTTCTTCATACATTCACATATTCATCTATTTATTCATTAATAACAAGATCGCAAAGAGTTTAGAAAAAATTAAAACATCGAAATTCCTATAGCCTTATCTACTACGTATGAATGTTGCAATTTATTCAAATTGATGTGTTATGTAATGTGAATGTGATATCTGTGGGTTGTATACAAAAGGGGATTAATATTGCCTTTCCTTTAATTTGTTGGCAGACTTTGCTATCGTATATAGCTTATGCAAAGTTCACAATGAGAACATGTGAGTAAAACAAAAAAAAGAGGGTATATATGTGGTAAATAAAGAAAAGGAAATATAGAAATTCTAATTTAAGAGATTTTAGTTCTATAGTTTACCTGAAGGCTTCCTGTGTTTAATAATATTAGCAAATCTCTTTCATTAAAGCTAAACTTAAGCTTGACTTTTCGGCTTATTTCATTACTTTAAAAAAACGACTGTAGATATATTGTATAGTTGGTCAGAAATCAAGGGTAGTGCTAAAAAAAAAAATCAAAGCTCGTACAACATTATAAACAAATGAATTAAAAAGGGGAATGTTCTTGTTGTATAACGTATATATTCAACAAAATATCTGATCACGTGACAAGTTTTATATATCGCCGTAATTTATCGTTTAAGTTTTCGAAAAAGATGACATGTATCCATGGGGTTTTGTTGGACGAGTGTTAAATGGAGTATATAGATAAGAAAGAACTTACATCCGGAACTAGCAAGCAGTGAAACACCAAAATAGAGACACCCTGTAAACGTAAAGTAAAAAGAAATGAGAGAAAAGTGTTCTTGTTAGTTGCTACCTATTGTGATGGTGGAGGTAAGACTATCGAAGGTAACAACAAATGAGAGGGTGTAAGACACTGCGGGGAGCAAAGCGACCAGTGGTGGGGGAGTCGGGTTGAGAGGCGAGTTTTCGTAAATTTGTTGTAGGTTTTCCATGATGGGTCAGGTAAACTAGACCTGACACTTTGGCTGTAAGAGGGTGCATTTCACAAACATTATACTTGACCCTTTGGGAGTTAATGTTTAATTATTCACAAAAATGTGTGAATCCGACGACGCGACGCGACACCCGATGTGACGAAGTGAGCCATATTGAAGGGCTTTAGTTTTCATACCTGGAGGGAGAAGCATATGATGAAGATGTACTGAAAGCAGATGACAGCATCAGATTGGGTGAAACTGGTGATGGTTCCAGCGATCCAGGTTAATCCAAGGATTGGTAGGAGGATGCATAACGCACGAGCCGTTGCCCTGCAGAAAAGCGAGAAAAGTACAGATTAATGATGATATAAAAACGATATAATTTTGTTTTCCAGGCTAGCCCCACCATCATTAATATGGTTCTCCCCGATGACCCGGCGATCAAATTATTACCCCGGATATGTTTAGAGAGTGCACATGTAGATCTATAATGTCTTGCAAGAGGATATTTAGCACCCTAACAGGGTTTCGAACCCCGTATCATGTGCTTTATAGTATTGGGACTCATCCACAGCACGACACATGCATTAATAAAATTGCTAAACAGTCAGAGGCGGATAGCCCGATTTTGTAAGCTATGCAAGGGAATCATGACCACCTTAGTCAACGTCATTGATTAATTTAAAATAGTTTTTTCTTTGAGGTCTTTCTATATTTCAGTTCACTTTACTTGAAGACATATTTCATGAATACTTCAAGATGTATGGAATATATGCTAAGCTAGAGAAAACCGTTTTCTCTTTGCATGGCATTGTTCTACGGATCTTTAAAAAGAAATCGTTTCTCCAAGTGCAGACATTTCGAATGACACTTTTTAATCAAATTCCGAAATGAATCACTTTAACTTGACCTCTTTGACTTTCTGGAACATAGATGATCCCTATTTCTATCCTTGTTGATCTAAGGCAAAGTGATTGGAGAGAAATCTGGAAAATGCACAGTATCAAAGCTAAGGTTATTTAACAGCTTAAATACGGGGGAAAGATGAATAATTACTTGATCTTGTCGATTTCATCTTTCTTCTTGTTTGCCTTCAGAGACCTGAATGTTCTCATGACGAACCACAACACCGTGACGCTGAACTACGCGTAAAAATAAAACAGAATGTAGAAATATCGTTCATTAGTTCATCACATCTAAGTTTAAAAGAACAAGTTTAAAAGAACAAGTAATTTAATCTTTTGTATAAATGGAAAGTTTTGTTTTTCTGTTCAGCAATTTTGTTTTTGTCATATCGTCCTGTTATTTGGTAGGTTCGTTCCAGTGATATTTTATATATTATGTACACGTATTAATTGTTAACGTTATATATTGCCGTCATGAGCAATTAATCTAAGCTTTTGAAAGAAAAAAGAAACAAGTTCAACATTTTACCATACCGTAAATATTCTGGTTACTACCAATATTTCATGACTGCATTAATTACGTTTATTCTTTCCAGATTTTTTTTCCATTTTATCCCGGAACTGCAGTACTTTGCGGAGAATAACTACACGAAAGCTCAACGTTTACGCCCTATAAGCTTTTGTTTGTATTGATTTGTAATGCTTTTTTGGAAACATACATAAATTGAAAATTGAATTGAAATTGAGCCAGTGTAAGCTATAGAACTGTATAGCCAGTTTTAATTCAGTCCTCCGTTAAAAATTGGGCAAGTTCCAATCACTTTATCTTACCATTTCTGTTGCGTAGACACATCCTGCAAATATGTAGATACTGTTGTCTCCAACGTGTAACCAGCAGCTGAATAAAGAATATTCACGACACCATTATTTTTATAGTTTCTTATTGTTTGTATTATTATTATCGTTATAACTATTTTTATCATCAATCTAAATATATTTTTTCATTATCATGATTATAATCATTATTAATCATCAGTATTATTATTATTCCCATCGTTGTCATCATGATCAATAATTGTTACTAACATCATTATCATCATTATAATCATCATCATGATCATTATATTATCTGTGGAATGTATGATTCAATAAAGAACCGCGAGCCATGAATAAGATACACAGTATAGTCTTGTATACTAAACAAACTCAGATGTTTACAAGGTGTTAAGAATACTAAGAAAAGAAGAGATATTTTAAAAAAAGAATAACTGAATCTTAGGATATAATATAAACAAAGCCATTAATACTTAGTCCAATATGCTATAGCTGCAATATTCAAATATTTCGCTAGAATATTCAATGGATTCTACAAATATTGTGAAAGAATCACAATTCGGATTTTCACTTATGCAATTACACAAGTAAAGGAATGAACACCTATAAGTAACATGTAGAATAGATATTTAACCATCTTTAACGACATAAGTACAGCGGAAAATACTGGGAATTTCCCGATGATATGAACTTTGTTCTAATACAAACAGAAAAATGAGGGAAGCAAATGAGAGAAAGTTTGAGCCATATCCGATTAAAAATAGAAATGTTATGATTTCTTTTAGTTCTGTCATCAGGGAAACACGTATTGACAACGCTGTGGCGTATCTTGCAAGCTACTGTGTAATTTGCTCTCTACAGGCAATTTGATTAACTTTCGTTTATGTAGTTATTAATGACGGAATGGATTGTTTCATACAGGGGTTGTATACAAATATATTCGAAATAATTATATAAGGGTGACGTTCTTTTTAGTACAGCGAAAGTGTCTCATTCTATTAAAACAATTCGGACTTCTCCTTAATACACAAGTGATCAATGATATACAGAAGCCCCCGTTACTCACAATGCAGATGTTCCATACGTGTCAAAGAGAACACCAAAAGACACCCCAACAACCACAAAGGAGCCTCCTGAAATAATTGAATTGAATCGAATTGAAAACTGAGGTTTATTGATAACAAATCAATGTGACTAAAGAGGCAGTCCTCCTATAGTATTCTCTTATAGTATTCCCTTATAATGTTTTGGATGATACGAATTTCCAAAGCACATGCTAATAGCAGGTGGTGCGTACGCGGCATCGTTTAACAATGTTAAATCTGAGATGCATGGCCCTACATGTTATCAGTGTCTGTAATATGGTGTAATATTGAAGCCCTAAACAAAGATTGGCTTCAAAATGATGAAGAAGTGACTGAACAAAACGTTGTTTTTTTTTAATCAGTGACCGGTTTTACCATACTCGTTTTCTCCAATAGACTGTAGTGTTATGAAAACTGTTAGGAAAACGCAAAATTTGATTTTGATTTCCAATCATAAATATCTTGATAATCAGACATGCGATCGGCTTGTAAAAGTCATGGGTTCCTGACCGACCTAACGGTTTATAATTGTCATTGCAGCATGAGTTAAATCCAGGATTTTGTTTCAGAATCTGAGACAAGGTTACAGGATCCCTTTAATTACGGAAATCGCTATTTCAGGAAATAGTGGAAATTTTATTTCGGTCTTACCGTAAGCGATAAGACTCAGCCACCCAATCCTAAGTGCTTTGGAGCCCACGGCAGTCGTACGATACAGGGAAACGCCCTCGATCATGGTCCATGCAAGAGCTGATGTGAACAGGTAGTGTAGTGTCACTGTCACGCCCTTACAGAGTGCCTGTCGTAAAACAAAACAAAAAGAATATGTTTACACTTCTATTCGAGAATGGATGTTTTCTGTTCACTGAAAGGACCTTAAAACAATTTAAGTCGTCTGTCCGAACTGAATTAAGGTCTTAGAAATGCACACTCCCACCAAACACAGATTGATTCCTAAAGATAGAGTCCAATAAATATTATCGACATAGAATAGCTGCTTCATTTAAGTCTTAAAATTGAGATTTTTGGAAGCGTTGAAAAATGTCTCCGCCGGGAATCACCTCCGGGTCCTAGGCTTAGAACGGCAATGCCTTAATCGCTATGCTACAGAAATTGGCTAGAGATTTCGATGAGATTTTCAATTGCCCGATTGGCAAATCTTCAGCTCTTTATCAATTCCTTTCGCATTTGTGATTTTCTTTAGATCTTGAGGTGATCATGATGGTTGTGAGAAAAAAGGGGATATATATACTCACCCTATTTTCTGTTGCCTCAGCCAAGGTGAGAAAAATAATCTGTCCAAGGGCCGTGCATATTGCCAGGTTCATGTGAATCTGAATCTTCAGCATCTTGCAGGCTCTGTAACAAACCGTTAGAAATTGTATTGAGGGGTGGAGGGGAAACGCCTGAAGAGCTGCGATACCCCCACCCTATTTAAATCATATTATCAGGACATTTTAAAACTGTTTAATGTTGATTAGTTCTCTAGTTTCATAAGTTCTTTGTTTCCACAGATTTGTTTTTCTACCTGTTAACAGAAATATGATCACAAAGGCGTTCCGAATCGACTGCAGGCAATTTCATTGGCGTTGAGGACCACCTTTGTTATGAGGGAAGAGTGAAATGGCATATTACGTAATCCGATCATTATTTATATCATATACAACTAACACCAAGAACGTATCTTGTATACTCTTTTGGTGGTTCACAGTCCAGAGACTTATTATCCACAATACCGCACCACCTCTACTGAAACGGAGGTGCGCAGGGCCAGCTGAACAAGTCTTCAATATGCACTATAGGCATTGTGTATGGCGAATACATAACGCGCCAGCCGACCCTGAGCAGCCAAGGTGAGCTCGAACATTACTGCGGAACGCCCTAATAAAACACTCACCCAGTTACACAGTATATGAATACAGCAAGAACCAAAGAGGCGATAGAAATGCCACCAAGGATGTAAGACAGGTAGCTCTGTACCTGGGCATTGACTCCTTCAGGCGGCTACATGTAAAATAATTATCATAATAATAATAATAATAAACAAAAACAAAGATAAGAAATGTAATAATAAGAATTAAGGGCGATAATAAATAGTTACATTTCATTGGGCACATATTAAAGATAAACTCCAGTACTGGTAAAAAAAAAATAATAATTCTCACAGAATCAAACGAAACTTACACTGAATGTTCAAGATTACAAATAAATGACATGTGCCAAACAATTTTGAAAGAAAATGTATACTGGCTGAGTAATGAACATAGAAAGACAAGGAAATCAAGGTAGTACTAGCCCCGACACCATGAGTGTTGTCCCATATATAGCTTTCTATGTTAGTGCTTGTTACTTTACCAAGACTCGGTCAAATTTATTATGATTTTGATGACTCCAGAACCTTGCAGTGCACACCAATACTTACATGCTACATGATCAACTGTTTCTGATCCTTTCCACACCTTTTCTTTCACAATGATATCGCATTACCAGTACTAAAGTTTATCTTTAATCCCAGGGCATACTCGTAGTGCCTACTTAGTAAGCCCTATCATTGTTACCCTTCATGGCATAAGACCAGCTGCCCAAGGGCGCTCACGCCTTTCGAAAGGGAACAAATTCCTACCATCTACCAATTTACTACACCAGGGAGGTGTTTCACAAATATCCTAAGTCGAACTTATCTCTAAGTTGGACTTAAAAGTTATGGAAAGCCATTAGCATCCTTGAAAATATTTTGTAAAAGTTATTTTAAAAGGCATAATATGTTGATTCAAATAATTCGTATTTTTTATTATCATGGGAGATTTCATGTTCTTGATGTAGAATTTATGGAAAGTCTAAAATACTTGATTTTTCGCTTTTGAATATATTTTATTTTAAGGCTACAAATGGCTCTCCATAACTTTTAAGTTCAACTTAGAGTTAAGTTCGACTTAGAATCTTTGTGAAACACCCCCAGGGTTGAGAGTTTATAATGTGGATTAATGTCTTGCAAGAACATTAGTCCAGTAGCGGAACCCGAACAGCGAACCATGTGATCCAAGGTCCAAAGCCAAAGAAAATGAAAACAAAAACAAAACAATAAAGGTATCTTCAATATATGCAAATATTGTTATTAATAATAATTACAATAGTAGTGATCATAATAATGATGATAATGATAATGATAGTAGTAATGATAATAATAATAATTGTAATAATATTATAGACGAGAAACTCCCTCCTAGCGCTCCACAAGTATATCCCCCGGTTTTCGCATTGAGGTGAGAAACTTCAGGACAATTCGATCTAATTTAAAATCCAATCTATCTTAAGGCATTGCTTGCTAAAACCTTTGGATTCTTTATAAAGCCCTTAAAAACTCTGTATAGAGCCTATGGAAATAAAAGATTTCAATACTCAAAAAGTATACATTCAATGCGAATGAAGACATTTCGGAGTTTGACGGCGTTTCTATGTGGTTTGCGAAAGATTTATTCTATCACACAAAACGGTAACCAATCAGTCATTAAAGGGATCCGGTAACTTTGTCTCAGATTCTGAAACAAAATTCTGGATTTAGCTCATGATGCAATGATAATTATAAACCTTTAGGTCAGTCAGGAACCCCATGACTTTTACAAGCCGATCGCCTGTCTGATTATCAAGATATTTATGATTGGAATTACAAATTTTGAAAACCGTTCGCCTGACGGTTTTCATAACACTACAGTCTATTGGGGAAAACGAGTATGGTAAAACCGGTCACTCAAAGATTTTTACTTTTTTGAGGCACTTCTTGATCATTTTGAAGCGCAATTTTTTTAGGGCTTCAATATTACACCATATCACAGACACTGATAACAGGTAGGGCGGTGTATCTCAGATTTAACATTGTTAAACGATCCCTTTAACTGCTCTCACGTGTGTACAATTCTTGGTGAAGCTGGTCAACAGGTGTTCGTTCCGTATGCCACTTAAACCCGACTCGCGGGAGACAAACTCAATTAGCCCGGGATGCATCGCTTTCCTACTATGTGTTGGATATACAAAATTGACACGGACAAATCAGATCAGCAGACGTTTATTTTGACCGACGTAAGAGAAAATCAATGATCCATTCGATTAACCATCAACCATCCGGTCCTTCAATTTGTCCATTAGTTATTCAATGAATTCCATAAAGGAAGCCAATATCACCCCCCCCCCCCCCCCCCACCAAAAAAATGAATCTATAAATGAGAAATTAAAGATTTGTTCTATTTGTAAAACATTTCCTGCCATATTTTTTCTACACTCGAATTGCATGACCAGAACTCAACTTTATCTTTAAGCAAATAATGCAACAACTGATGACTTACCTTTAGAGAGAGCAGAACAGCGAAGCTAGTCAGATGACTGCTGTTGCACACAACCGAATCAGAGGCGACAGAGACGACCTGGACTCCATCAGTTGACCAAACACTATCGCACAAAAATATTTAACAAAATCATACATAAGCGTACAATAAATACATGTATATAATTCAACAAAACACTCTTGATAACATGTAGAACCGTATGTTGCATCAATATGAGTGTTATAAATCTCAGAAATATAATATACATTGAATGTTGGGGCAAGCAACATGATTTCAAATATTATGATGTAACTCTTATTGTACTTCTCAGTGTTGGATCAGACGTGTATATTAAAATCGTCTTCCAAAAGATCTTAATGATTATGATTACAAATGAATTTTCGCGATGCACATGTAGAAAAGAATCCCCCCCCCCCCCAAAACAAAAACAAAATGTATATACATACTTCAATTATAATTCAAGCCTCCTGTTTGTAATGCAATTTAGCCAATTTGTTTATGGTTACAGCTCATAATTTCGACGTATCATTACGTCTTACGAAAATGCTCAAATGCATTGCAAATCGGGCACGTGACTCGTCATTTCAGTCCATATATAAAAATTAGAATCGCGTCTGATTACCTGTCGGTGACCTGGTAAGCACAGTACACACCATTGGAACCGTCCTGTAGAAAAATATTTGAAAATATAAAAAGCACAAAAAAGGGAAACGTAACAACTTTTTAACTTCGGGCTTATTGTCCATGTTACCAGGTAAGGTGGATAAATCAAAGTACATTATGGAGTATAGATGGACTGTTCCGCTTTAAGGAGCTGACACTTAATCATATGTTAATGTAATTAAGCAAGGTTTGATATACAAAAATAAATGAAAAAAGACTAGATAAAGATGATAATAGTAGTACAAGCAGCAGCAGCAGCAACCGTATTAGGAGTAGAAGTACTAGCAATAATAATAATGATCATAATAATATTAATGCTAATCATGATAACAACATCAAGAATATAATAATATGATATATTAACAATAATAATTATTATGTTAAAGATGGTGATGATCGTGCTCATTTTTAGAATGATGAAAATGTATAACTAAAAAGGGTAGAAATCATCTTAAAATACTAGATCTTCATTTGAGAAGGCTTCCATGCATCGTTGACACCTACTTTATCTTACTTTTCATCATGCCTATAAGTCTGATTTTTGCTCGACAAGTATTTTGAAGGAGTTGAAAAGTACTTGATAACGAATCATGTAACTATTGTTATACAAATTTTACGTAATGGTCAATATTTGGCATGTCTCTGGTCAATCGGCATTATTCAGCAATCCGATTAGTCAGTGTAATGTCATTTTTTTTGTTCTTTCTGGTATCGGTCTCGATTACCCTCCTTCGCGATGTTTTGTAGAAAGTGGAGAGCCCTGTGTCTGCGCACCTAACATTTCTCTCGAAATTAATTTTCTATTGTATTCCTCTTGTCCTGGATTTCATTTCATTCCTTATGTTGCAGGGAGTATATGTTTTTTTATTTTGTGGATTCGCCACAGAACAATATAATTTTCAAAAGAAAAGGCGGCCTTGTCATTTTGAAATCGCAAGACAAAGATTCCCATGTCTACGCACGCATTCACTCTTCATTTAGAAAAATTGGTCCAATCTTGCTAATAGTCAAATGCACTGTACATGAGTTTGTGGTCCCCAATGTTTAGCTGTTATTAGTCATATTTCGAATATAAGGGCATTTGAAGAGCCATTCTTTTCAGGTGACTTTTTAATTCTATTATGCTTTTTTCAATACTAACAAAGAACATGTACAAAGAATTAAAAAGCCCGCGAAATGTTTTTCGCTTTTTACAAAACTGAACCTTCCCTTTAACCAAGTAGCTATAGTGTTGCCTCACCGTTGGGGGAAAACCTTCGGTAGACTCCACCATGAAGATTATTTGCACAGAACCATTGGAGAGATTGATGGTCGTGTTGCCGTCAATGAGTTCGATCTTGATCACT